TGGACTTCTGTGGCTATCAGTATATCATCTACATGCTGCTGCCAATGTGATTTTTTCATTTTCCTTTTTCCATATTTCCAATTATTTTGCCAGTTGATTCCCAAACAAAGTGGGGTTATTTATGAACTCTTGTGGGAAGACAGTCCATGTTGGTTGGGTTTTACGTCCTGTCTAGTGACTTTTCTCATTCAAAGCAAACAGAGATTGACTTACAGTTGCAAAGGGTGTGTGGAGGAAAGCGTCCTTAAGATCCAAACCAGTGCACCACTCATCAGATACCTTAATTGTGGTTAGAAGTGTGTATGGATTTGCTACCACTAGGTAGGTGTATTGCACTTGTATTATTAATAGCTCTTGTACTAGTCTGTATTCATTAGTATGTGGCTTTTTACTAGTAAGATGGGAATATTATATTTTGACTCACATTCTCTTAGTATCCATATTTGCACACATTTAGTAATTAATTTCTCTGACTCTTGTCTAGCTTCTAATTCCAAAGGATATTGTTTCTGCCATACCAATCTGATGTCTGGTTTCAGTTGTGTTCTGACTGGCTCTGCTGCTTTTGATCTCCTCGGAATTCCAGAGGTCCACACCAATGGAGTAACAGCTTTTTCCACCTCTTCTGGGATTTCCTTTGTTGTGTTTGGTTGTGTAACAACATAAAATCCTGGGCCAACACCATTTCATTATAAAAAATTAGGTACTTGTGTTTGTCAATTTCAAATATTATCTCTTCCTAACAAAACCATTGGGCATTCAGGCCCAGTATATAGAAATTGATGTGTTAACCACTGTTTACCTATCTAGAATTTTTAAAGGTTGGAAAAAATGGCAAAGTTTTGCTTTCCCAGTTGCACGGTGGCATTTACAATATTTTGACTCGGAGCCTTTTTGCATGTATTGAGAAGACAATAAACTGCCCTGTTTAAAATCAGCGGTTCATTCCTCAGTGTCTAGGCGTCAGCTGGAGATGCCTCCCCTTTGTGCTTTATCTAATATAATTTTAATAGCATTATTGCCTTTGGAATAGTGTCTTTCATTCCACATACATGTGATCTCTAGTAACTGATTAGTAGCTTCCTTTAAACTTAATTTTTAACATTCTGCCAAGTTAGTGGATCGAAAATGATCATCTGCTGTCCCCTGCTGGATTCCTTGAGCATGCATTCTTTTTCCTTGAGCATGCATTCTTTCTCCCTTCCTTTCTTTCCTCTGAGGTCTCCCCATTTTTCCAAGTGAAAAGCTTTGTCTCAGTGGAGTCACTAAAAATTGTTGCCAAATACCTCCAAAATTGTAGGGGAATAATAGAACCCTCAAGCACTGTCTTTTTAGTATTAGAAAGCAAGACATTACTTTATTTGCAGCATTGGGTGTGTATGTGGCCAGCAAAAATCCTGCCTCCATACGGACACCAATACATTACTTTTTCACCTATTTATATATTTTTGACAAACAAATTATTATTCAGTGGTTCTTAATTACATAATTATCTTTCATTAGTTACTATTCTACCCTCTATTGGTTATTAATTTCTTGCTTTCTATGCTAATGAAGTCCACATCTTTAGTCTGTTTAGTATTTTTTTTCCTCCAGTAGGAACCTTCCAGCACATATACAGAATTCTTTTCTTTTTCTGCTGGTTTCTGCAGAATGTCCTTGGTGGTTCATTCCGCATGTCCAACAATACATCTTTCTCTCTCGAGCTTTGTTCATTGAAGCACATCCAAGTTAGTTTAACAAAACTTACAGTTTTAGTATTTTTCCCAAACTATATTCCCACAAAAGTAGCTTTTATAACAATTTTTGCTATATGCTGGCTAAAAATGATATGAGGCCTAATACAATTTAGGATTAATTAAAACAGCTAATTAAAAGTTTAATTAAAACTATATATTAAAACCAAATATCAGAAAAACTTTATCATTCCAACCGTAGTTTGACTTTGTTACATGGAGTGAAGGGCAGAAATACTGTAGAGGAATATGGAGGCTTTCGCATCGTCCTTTCCATCTCACTAGCACAAGCTATAGCAGAGCAGTCTCAAGCTCCCCTGTGTTCACTGTTGAATACTGTTCAGCTAACAGTTTATCATCTTCCAGCACGTAGGGACATCCTACTCCTGCATCTTTAAGATTTCCTTCTTAAAGTATAAAAAATATAATTTTGTGATCATTATGCCCAAGGTGGCTTCTGACCACCACATCTGCCACAGCCCTTCTCTCTTCATAAACGGCAGGTCTACTGGGGTACTACCCTGGTAGCCTCACTTACCAGCTGCAACAGGAAGTTATCTTCCACATGCTCCAGGAATTTCCTAGACTGCTTCCTCTCTGCCGTGTTTTCAGCAGACAACTGTTAAGTTAAAGTCTCCCACAAGAACAAGGTCTGGAGATCATGAAATGTCAGCCAGCCACTTAGAATATGTTATCTGCCTCTTCAACCTGATTGGGTGATCTGTAACAATCCCACCAGAATGCCTTGTTAGCCTTCCCCTTGGTTCTTACCCATAGGCACTCAACCTTATCATCACTATCCTTGAGCTCTATAGAGTCAAAACACTCCTTTAATGTAGAGAGCCCCCTCACTGCCTCTCCTTCCTCACCTGTCCCTTCTGAAGAGCTCCTGACCATCCACTGCACTCCAGTTATGCAGTCATTTCACCATGTTTCTGTGATGGTCACTAGGGCATAGCTTTCCTGCTGCATAATGGCTTCCAGCTCCTTCTGTTTGTTACCCTTATTGTGTGCATTGGTATAGACGCACTTCAGCTGGGCTATTGATTTCACCCCTGATATGGTTTGAAGCTGGCTCCCTACCAAGTCTCCAAACCTTACCACCAGAAGTACCCCCCCCCAAAAACCTCAGGGAGAAGAGGGAGAAAAAAAACTAAGAAAACCTGAAATGAGAGAGAGACAACCAAAGTGAGATATATAAATATATTTACACTTATATACAATTAAAATATACAATTTCACAAGGGAAAGGGAAGGGGGAAAGGAAAGGGAACAAAACTAAAATAAAATATATGTATATCCTAACTAGTGACCCAATATCTAACAACTAAAGGAGTTAGCAAAGAAAATAGCTCACTACTCTCCTGGGACTACCGAGAGTCTCTCTGGAACAATCGCCGGCAACCTCCGTCGCCCAAGGTCGGCAAGGCCTAACCAGGCCTCTCTCCCCAACACAGCAGACTCAACAGCAGGGAACCTGCACCTTCAAGCCGCTGGAAGGAAAGAGAGCGAAGGCCTCTCCTCCTTTCTTCTTACAGTCTGGTTTACGTAAAAATTGTAGGGAATACTGGGTAAATCTGGACCCTTCCTTGGTTACAAACTGGTCACCAAGGAAGGCCTAGCCCAAACCACCACAACCCCCAGCGCTGGCATACTGCCTCCAGGCTCATGTCTAGTGAGCCCAGTCTTATACCCTTCCCCCTTCAAACCTAGTTTAAAGGCCTCTCATTCAACCCTTCCAACTCACAGGCTAATATCCTTTTCTGCCTTTTTAGATGCTGCAGGCTGTCAGGGGATGACTGATTTTACCCTCTCCCACCTTAGTCATGCAAGAATTCCTGGTACAATCAAGGGATGCTTCACTGCCAAACTCTTTAGACAAAGACCAAGGCCTAACAGGATTCCTGAGGTTGTAGAGTGGTCCCGAGGAGCAGCGGGATGGGTGCACCACCCCATGGTGTCTATATTCAAAATATTCTTCACGTTACACAGAATTAATTAAAATACCTGATCTTTGCCTTCAAAATCACCACCACTACTTGAATAACCAAGGAACAAGTTAGTTGTCCTAGACAAAACATTTTTATGCCACTGAATTGTGCCCCAGTAATTATGGATGGAAATGACTGTAATCCTGTCAAATATGAGACCCTGGTTTCCGCCTCTGTAGCTTTCTGAAAAGGAGATAAAACTTTAGGTAAAGAACACTGACATCTTCTGGCTGGATAAAATAATGTAAAGAGCTCGAGTCATACCCTCCTAATTTATATTTAGAAGAATGTGTTGCAATTTTAAGAAAAGTGAATGACTTTATTTCCCAGTAGATGGAAATGCAAACTTCTAAAATATGTCAGGCTTGTGAAAAGCCTTAATAGTAAAAAAAAAAGTCTTGTCTTGTAATTTTACTGCTGTTCATGAAGATGAAACTGTTATTCATGCTAGAGTTATTGTTTATTTTAAAATAGTCTTTGATCGGTTAGTCTCAGATGTGCTCTTGGATTACTGCTATTCTCGATGCCCACCCAAGAGTCCTCCTTTCACCAGTTGTTCCCTGTGACACCACGTCCAAGTTCCATGTATTCTCTGTTCATGCCATATTTAACATTTTTATTTCAGTACCCTTCAGAGTTGTCTTTCTGGTCACAGTTAATTGTTACTTGGTTGTATCAGGGGGCTTAGGCCTGTGCTCTCTGGTGAGTAGGTGATTGCTGCAAGAAGCATGTTGTGAACTTTATGGACTGACTTTAGAGTTGATTTTCTCATTGTGAGTTTTGTAGGAAGTGAATCTTTATGGAAGAGGAAAGCCTGGAGACAGTAAAGTCAATGAAAAGTTACACTAGTGGTGTCTGTGGACTACGTGCCTTTTGAAAGGCACAAGATAATTAGATTAATGTTTTACAGGAGTAATTTTAACTATATGATCTAATTTTTGTGGTTGCATTAAAATAATATCCTAGCCTTAAGAAAGACATAGTTTAGTTAAGTAAAACCTACACTGCAGTAGCCAGTATTTCATGTGTGACTTTGGGAATGGATCTCAAACAACAGAAAGTGATGCAAGCACTTGATATTAACAGAGTCAATTACCTGAGTAATGACACCCTGGAAAATAACAGATTGTGACAATAAAAAATTCTTTCATCTGATGCTGTTTTTGGTTTGATTGTCTATAGAAATTACTTTTAGTTCTGTTTGAAGTAATTTAGTCTCCATTCCCTTACTGTATTACAAAGATATAATTAATACTATATGTGTCTTTAACAGGAACCAGTGATCCATATGTCAAGTTCAAACTTGGAGGAAAAGAAGTATTTAGAAGTAAAACAGTACACAAGAACCTCAATCCTGTGTGGGAAGAAAAAGCTTGCATTCTTATAGATAACCCAAGAGAACCATTGTATATAAAGGTAGGACACTATCTTACATATGTCAGACAAATTACAACAGAAGAGTTATTGAAAGAGTTTAATTTTGTGATTTTTGTATACTGAAAAGTTTATTGTACAATAAACTTATTTAAATTATGTCTGTAGAATGATGATATCAACATTTTAAAAAGTGATAAATACCACAAATATTTTTGTTTATTTGAGGTCATCATTGTTTTGTATTTCTTTAGTGTGATCTTAGCAGAAGGACAGCGAAAGTAAACTGTCTTTCATGGTGATGGCATGTGAGGGGCTTGTGCTCACATACTTGCATTCAAACCCTTTGAGTCCTGCAACAGTGTTGTAGCCTTTGGGCCATAGGATCTCTGTTACTGCTGTCTTAATACTGTCCATATTACAGTATTTGTGGAAGATGAACCTCTTTGCCTCCTGGAAAAGAGTTAGCGTAATACAATAGTTGAAATATTTGCATTAAAATTGAAGAACTTGAACTTAGTCCTGTCATAGCTCAGTTAAAGGTTCTCCTTACAAGATGTTCACAAGTCACACTTTTACTTAGCTGAAAGTATATTCTGGTCCTCAGAAATCCTCATGACAATGCTTACCAAAAAAAATTTAATTTACCTTGAAAGTAGATTTTGATAATTGACACTTTCCCTTATTTTTTTGTGTCACAATTTTTTTTGTTGCCTTGTTTATTTCCCTGCAAATCTTCCCCCAGTTTATTTGTTGTCCTTTCTTCTGACTTAGAAAGGTGTAACCCATCTCAGCTTGTACTACTCAATGTATTGGCCACAGATTCCTGTCTGGATATCAGTAAATTTGTCCAGGTGCTCTGTCTTTAGGTAGGAAATTAGCAGGCAAGGTTCTCATAGTAGATTATTAAATGTCATTGTTTCCTTACACGTATCCATTAAGTTTTAATCTTATATTGTAATATTTCTAACCTTAGAAAATTATACAACCTTCAAAATGTACAATTATATTATTCCTAATACTGATGCAAGTGCTGTAATAACCCATTTTTCATAACCATATCCTGCCCTCCTCCTTCCATTTTGCAGAATTGATAAAGGAATCAATGTATAGCAAATCAATGATTCTGTTTAACTTTAGGTATTCTTTTGATCTTCGTTCTTTCAGTGCCAATGTTTATCAGAATGCTTTTTTTTTTTATAAAATTGATGTTGTTCACATATGTAGTCTAATAGTAGTATACACCACTATGTTTCTCTACATGATGCAGTCTGACTTTCAAACAAGCAGTTTCAAGCTTGATTTCTGGCCAGAAAGTTTCAGGTTGCTTTCAGGTAGTCCTGGTTTAACAGGTGAGAAACATGAAGCTGTAACTCTGGAAAAGGAGTTTCAAGAACCATTCATAAAGTCAGAAAACTTCCAAAGAAAGAAGATCTCTAGTACTAAAAAATGCTCCTGTGCATCTTAGGTATTTGACTATGACTTCGGACTTCAAGATGACTTCATTGGTTCAGCATTTCTGGATCTCACGTCGTTGGAATTAAACAGGTATGGCACAAACAAGCCTACAGAATATTTCTATATGGCTGTCTGATAATATCATGTTTGTGGAATTGCAAATAGAACTTTATGCTAGAAAATAATTATACCAGAGAATATTGTGGTTTGGAAGGGACCCACAAGGATCGTTGAGTCCAACTGTTAAGTGAATGGCCCATATGGAGATGGAACACACAACCTTGGTGTTGTTAGCACCATGCTCTAAATAACTGAGCTAATCTCAGGTTTTCTGTATAAACCTACTAAACTAACCAAGGAAAAACACAAAGTATGCTTATGTATTAGCTGATTATGAAAAACATTTTTATAGTGTCTATGGAGCAGTTAGTTTTATAACCACTTTAATCTCAGTTTGATGCTGTCTTCATTCACAGCATAACCACCTGCTGTTTGACTTTCTTTTTTCTGGTTTTTAATCCATTAAGGTTAAAGTTCTGATTTAATTTTTTCAGTACATGTAAGTACTTAACAAGTAAAAGCATTTTGTATTTTTTTATGAGCATTTAGACAGAAATACTTTAAAGTAGAAATAGGGCAAATTTGTGACACTGTTTTCAAGTAATTTCTTATAAATGGAGATGCCTTTAATTCTCATAATTCAGAAATTTCATTATCTGTGAAATATATCCGTAATATATCAAAATAATGGAAATCAAAATAAATGTGTACTTTTTTTGTCTCCTAGGCAGACAGATGTTACCTTGAGTCTGAAGGATCCTCATTACCCTGACCATGATCTGGGAAGTATATTCTTGTCGGTTCTGTTGGCTCCAGGAGAACAGCGAGAACCGGTAATTTTAACATTTTAATAAGTGTGATCGCTCCTGTGATTGTTCTGTGGTTGGATGACTTGGAGCACAAGAGTAAATCTCAAATTCTGAGATTAATTTGATTTTTCTAATTTTTAAAATAACAATGAACGGTGTTTCTGGTACAGTACAGTGTGCTTCATCTGAGTTGGATCCTTCCTGAGATAGTAATGAGAAATCCAGATGGATCATAAATTTCAGATAAAGTCAGTTACAGGTGAATGGTGCTGATTAATATGGAGAAACATCAGTAAACCACTGGTTAAGAATTTTTGACCTAGTGCTGGTATCTCTAGGTAAGAATATTTGATTCCTATTCCATGCTGAAAATAAAGCTGAAAAAAGGTAGTGTTTCTGCTTTTTGACATCTAATGTTAAAGTCTTATTTGATGTTTTTCAATTTCCTGTTTACATTTCAATTATGAAATGGTGTGATTTTCTAGGTTTATTGTAGTTCCTTCATCAGTCTTAGTTTTCTGAGCTGCCTAGTTGTAAGTGAAACTATTTTCCAGTTTTCTAGGTTGTCCTAGTTGTGACAAACTCTGTCTCTAGTTGGATATATTTTACTAGCTTTTTGTGTGTTGACTTTTGACTTGGGTAGTATAACTGTGGCAGAAATAGAAGAGATGATATCTCAGAGGTTGTAAAATAATGTGGATTCCTCTGGCTTCAGAGAGGCTGCAGTGAACCACGTGGACCTTGCAGCTAAATTTTGCCTTAAGCAAGCTGTTTTCAAATTAAAGAAGAAATCGCTGTTAAGCAATAGATCCTGTAGAGGCAGGGTAGCGGGGTTTTTTTAATGCCAGTCTCTTTGCCATACCAGCAGCCACCACTGTGCAGCCACTCAGAAACTTTGTTCAGAAACTTTGCCCAGGCACTCGGGCACATAGACACACACCATGAACCCCACCCCGACCCCCAACGCCACCAGACTTCTAGAATCTTCCGGAAAGAAGACTGCACATGCCCAGAACTCATCCAGGAGGAGAGATTGGGGCATTACTGGATAAACTCCCAATTTTTGACCTGTTTGCGGGCCCCCACTTCTGATGGGCCAGGACTATGTATCGTGACCACAGACCATGTTCACCCATGCGTGGCTGGAGCCACAGGTGGTGATATCTTTCTCTCTTTTCTCCTATCTCTTTTTCTCCATTTTTGTCTTTCCGATTTTCCTTTCCTAAGATGATCATACACTCCAGAAGAGCTATGCACCCCTTTTCCAATCCATTACCTTTTTTCTCCAGTTTTGGTTTTAAAGCACATTTTAATTAAATTTGTTGTTATATTGGTTATTTAGCATCATTTTGCTTTAATCCTCCCCCAAGGTTGCCCTGCCTCAGAAGTGGGTTGCAACAGAGGCCAAGGAAAAAGCATTAATCTGATTGAATTTTCCATGGATACGGTCAACAACATGGTTTTTGTAAGAACATTTATGTTTCTATATGCTGCAGTGTAAGTCATCATCCTCTTGCATACCTGAGGACTACTGGCAGATTGTAATAGTTCTTTTTCCACTTTTCTCCCAGGTAACATTAAGTAGCGTAGTAAGTCAGTTACTGGAACTAGATGTTTGGTATTTAGTATAACCGAGATGATGTAGAGTTTTGAAAATGGGTTTCTTCTCTGTTAATTTGCCTCGTAACATTTTGTTAGCACTTAATAGAAATAATGGAATATGGTAGTAATGTGAATCTAGCTTATTTAGACAGTGTATTTTACTTTTTTTTAAGCAATATGTTTGTCCAGACAATTTAGAATCTTGCAGATTTGCACCACAAGAGTGTTACTTAAATGAAAAAATTTATTTCATTTTGGATTTTTTTTTGTACATTTAGGTAAGACCAGCATTTCTGAGTCAGATGGTAATTGCACTGTTTTTCCAAGTAGTTTTGGCACTATTCTGCCATAATCCTAAATCATGTAGCACAGAAATACTGTATTTTTATGTGGGACATCATTATGTGGACAGCATGTTAGTTTCCTTCTTTCATCATACAGAGAGGATAGTACTGCGCTGCTCCATGTTGTCAGCTCTTATAGAGAGTGCACTCAAGAAAATTACAGGTGAGAAAGTGAAATTAAGACCCTATAATGTAGCTTGTCTTTCATAGGGGTGTTGGTGATTTAGCAACTGAATGTCAAAAGTATTGGGAGCACCACAGACTTGCTGGGTAGCAACTTTTTTCATATCCAGCTGATTGGTTGTAATAGGAGGAAGAACTGGGTTTGTGCTATCACGCATTTCATTGTTCACTTTTTTTAGTTTAGCTCAAGTGAAAAAATTTTCTTGCCATTCAAACTGTTAAATGGGACTTCATTCTGAAAATGTCCAAGATTCCAATTAAGAATCTGGTTCCTAATCTGAATCTTAATACTTATTGTTAGAAACCAGTCTTTCCAAGATACAGATCTCAGAGCAGTTCTGGCAAAGTTGCAGTAAATTCAGAGAATTTGTATCACAGTGCGAGCAAGATAACTTACAAAATTAATATTGAATTACTGTTTATGAATGTGTTAAGGGTTTCATAATTAAAGACTCAATTATCTTTTACTCAGTAACCATATGTAGCAATTATTTGTTAGATTTTTTTTTACTCTAAGGAGTAGATATATTGCAAAGTGTATCACTCCAATTAAGCTGTTGTCTTTGGACAACAGCTGTTGTTATTTTTGAAAGGTTTTGTAATAATGAGGATAATTTTTATTGAAATTAGTGTGATTGAGATCAATAAATTTTCAAATGTTGTTAAAAGATCAAGGCTAATTCTTGTCCACTCTCGAAATGTGCACCATGTAAAGCAGCAATTAAAGCATTTCCTACATTCTCATGCTGTTTGAATGATTGCTGCTCCCCCTCTACTTGGATATCTCTATTTAAGTAATAATTCAAGTGTGGTTGAAATGTATAGATAAAAACCTGTGAACACCTTTAAATATGCTTTAATGACTGCTGCACAGAAGACATACTGTCTCTTCAGATTATGTACATTTTTTTTCTAAGTAATTTCAAATTTACTTAAAACCTGTTTGTTTGATATCCCTATATAGCTTACATTTCAAAAATACAGTTTCTTCTGAATAGGTTTTGTTTTGCTCTGGTGATAACTTGTGAATTCCTTGCAACTAAGAGTTGCAAGTCATTAAGTAATTAAGATAATATTTTTTATTTTTTTACACCATTTACATGTTGTCACACTTAAACAGTGTGGAGTGGTTAAATCATAGAGCTGAAGATTTCAGAAATTAACTGCAAGTACTTATACTGAAGGTACTATAATTCCATGTATTTTAAATGAGAGTGTTATTAAGACCATTGGGAAATAAAAAAAAAAAAGGAATAGCTTCAACAGAAGAAGTATTAGCTTTCCCACGTAGCCATAGAAGCCACATATCCTGTATTTTGGGCAGGTCTATAGCCGTATTTCAAATTAAGACCTCTTGAACAAGATGACGTTTGTGATGTGTCCTTTGGTAACTTGATGTGGATGATACTTTCCAAAGAGATCCTTTCACTGCCTGAACTGCAGTGAGGCTGTTTTGGAGGTCATGCATTGATGTGCAGGTAAAGGAAAAGTTTTTTGAGGGTGTGTTTGTGTGGCTGGAGGACAGGTCCTGTAGGAAAGTGCTACATTGACATTTCAAAATAATGTAGCTGTATGTTACAGGAAGATGCATCTTCTTACACTGCATAAGAAATATTGATGCTGATGGAGGATAAGGTACTCCAAGCGGAAGTTTGAACTTAAATGAGACAAAATGGGGGGCCTTGTATATTGCCACCTGTCTGTGAGAGAGGTATTATTGCAAATGATTTTAAAAATAAGCAGTCAGTTTGACAGAGTAATAGATTATTTTGTTTTGGGTGAAACCTTTAGATATGAAAAGAGATGAGAGAGAGATTTGATCCACAGAGGAACATTTTCTTCCTTATCTTTCTGGAAAAAAATTCTGATGAAATTCAGATTTTCTGCGTACTGACTGATAAGGTGATCTTGGGAATTATAGCTGGAAGGTCCCATTTCCTCAGATCAAAACATTACATTTTTGGATTCAGATGTCAATTAAGAATGTTAACATATACATATGTTCATATAACTGTATGTAAAATTGTATTACACTGACTACGAAAGGGGAGTATTTATTTTGGAATCTGATAGACTGTGAAAAACAGTGCTTAAGTAGTTTATGATTGTGTTTTTCCATTAGGAGAATATTGGACATAATTTCAATTAAAGGAAATTCAATATACTAGTTTCATAAGTAAGAGCACAATATTAGATTTTGTGGTACATTTTATGTGAAGAAAATGCAGAAGTAGCCTGCAGTTATTAAATATTAATGTAAGAGTATGGGCAGGTGAACAAATCAAAATTTCTAGCAGATCTTGTCTCTGAATATCCTTGCCTTTTTCTACCTGGTGCTTGTTCTAAAGACATAAAGATGTGAACATTTGAAGTAATAATCTTGTAACTTCTTATTTGAACTATGTACATAAATAGAAACATAGCATTTCTGAAGTTATTAAAGTCCTATTCTTTTGATTTTTTGACAAATGAAGGCAATCTGATTAGTTCTGATTTTTGAACAATCATAAATTGCGAATAAATTTGATTAATGAATTATTCTTATAGGACAATAAAAATTAGAAAGTTTTTAATATTTGTGTCCATTTCCAGCCTAACACAATTAAGTTGCCATAACACTAGTTACAATAATTCATTTGCATTTGCTCTGTGCTGTTAACAGTACATTAATGCAGCATTTTAATTTTATTGCCTTGAGAGGACAGATAACTTAGGTAACTACTGTAAACTAAAAAGATGTAAAATAAATAAATATGGGAAAAGTATGTATATATAAAAATGTTAAAATATGTGAGCTCTAAAAATTTATTAATTTAACTCTGTTTATAAAAAAATAGTGTGTTTATGGTGTACTTTCTCTATTTTTCCTTTTGATGACCTTCTGAATTTCTTCTTTTGATAACCTTCTGAATTTCTCCTTTTGATACCAGTTTAAAAGACGTCAGAACCAGCAGTTACTCAGTTTTTTTCTTGGACCTGCTCCAAAGAAGCTTGTTTTGTTTCTTTAATCTGATAGTGTTCTCTTAGTATTCCCTTTGGATACATGTAGTGCAGCGCATGCCGGTGTGCTGTTTGTAACTACATGCATGTGTACAGGCTTCTTGCAAATTCTGTTTGGTGTTGTAGTTGTGGGTCCCACAGTGCATGTGAGTTTTTCTGTCTCTTTCTCCATCAGCATTCAGTGCACGGGTTTCACCACTGGAGAACTTCCAGTGACTGTGACGTCTTCAGAGCTGCATGTCACCCAGGTCTTCACTACAATAGCTGTTTCCTACCTGGGTCTTACAGGCAATTTCCAGCTACAGGAAATGACAAAGTTGGTAGCTTGATGAGAACTGTTGTCTTGGAACCAGCAGAGATTGAGGACAACTGTTCACTGCTAGCAGCCTTAGAGGCATAGAAAATGGAAAAAAGGAAGCCAAGTGCTACTTGGATGTTGTTATTTAATGAGATTAAAGTTCAAGGCATCGTTTTTTTCCTAAAATGATCTATCTTAATGATACTTAGGTTTTTTACTTCATATGAAAATATTAACAACATTAATATGCTGTCAGTTTGTTTGCTGTATTAAATCTTATAATACACTATTACTATTTATTTGTTTGTTTGTTTGTTTTATTTGCCAGAGGGATAATAATATAATAGGAAAAAAAAGACAGAGATAGACTCAGGGCATGGAATATTTTCAGATTAAAAAATTCCACGTAGATCATTCATCCTGATCTGTCCTATGCTATATATTTATTTTACTGGCTTCTAAGGGTGATTGCTATGGCTTCAGCTTATCTTGCTCTAGCTGGTAATGATACCAGTGTACTCAGCAAATACTGCATATGTTTCTGTAGCTACAACTCAAACTGAACTCCTCAGAGTTGAAAGAATCATAGAATCATAGAGTTGTTTGGTTTGGAAGAGACCTTAAGGATCATCTAGTTCCAACCTCTTCCATTAGACCAGGTTGCTCAGGACCACATCCAGCCTGGCCTTGAACACTTGCCAGGATGGGGCAGCCACAGCTTCTCTGGGCAACCTGTTCCAGTGCCTCACCACCCTCATGGTGAAGAATTTTTTCCTAGTATCTAATCTAAACCTACATAGTCAATTCAGCTGTTGGGCCATATTCTCTTCCTTGCTCACAGCCTGGTCTGAAGACTAGTGAAGCTGAGTTTCTGCTCTGACTTGTAGCTGTGTGGGATTCAGAAATGACAAGGAAGAGAGAAGCTATGTTGTGCTGGACAGGACCCAGGAACTCAGAGATTTTCATCAGAGCCTTCTATGGGCCTCAAGCTGCTTAATTCTTACGTGCTTCTTCTGTAAAAATGAATTCAGGGGTTTTCTCCAGCTTTATAAAGCGTTTAGTATCTGTGTATATTTTCCAAAGCCACAGTGCTACAATTATCATTAACTTACAGCAAAGCCCTTGGGTTTTAACTGTCCATAGCAACTTAAAAAGTGTCCTCAGCAGCTTGTTGTTTTTCTTCTCCCAAAAAGCTGTGTCTATTTGAAAAATTTCTGGATATTTCAAACATATAAATCCTACATATTTTTTTCTCATTTTAATTTTTCCCCATGATATAATTTAATTTATTAGTGAGGAAAATGTTTCCGTTTCAAAATTTATTTCCATTATCTGAAAAAAAAAGTGGTTTTGCAATAGTTAATAAAAAGAAACATTATATTTACTTTTCATGACAAAGTTTCAAAAGGAATTAATGTTCTTTGATTTATTCTTGCTCAGTGTCAATATCAGGCTGCTAGATGTTATTAAATTGTATAAAGTAATTTTTCTGCATTTCCACAGAGCTGCTTAAGCAGCAGTTGTGTTCACAGATAAATTGTCCCCGATCTACTTGACCAATATGTCTCTTTTATTTAATGATTTAGAGTCTGTCTGTGGACACTTTGCCTTTCAGCATGTCAGAGCATGGTGTTTAGTAGTGCCAAGGTTTTACAGGTTATTTAGGTAATGGGACAGGGCAACTGAGATTTGGGATTTTTTGAGTGAAGGTATAACTTTGTTTTCTCCCTCATGTGCGTAATAACCAAACTAAGACATATTTTTGCTGCTATGAAATGAACTAACAGTGGTAACTTTAAGGATTTTGTAATAGATTCATGTTATCAAAGGACCCTTATGCAGGATTTCTATGTGGCTACACTTACGAGTTAAACAGTAGCATTCCAAAAAAATGGAGAACTTTATTATTAAAAAAACCTACTATTCAAGTATCAGTCAGAGTTGTGATCACTATCAGTAATGGCACATTCATTTTTTTCCATTTGCTTATGTAATTCTGTTTTTCTGTCTTTCTTTCTTACAAGTTCACATAATGCATTGTCTCCAGAAATGAGATTTTCAGACCACCCAGAAAGGCGTGCCTGGGTGTGCAAAGGGCTGCTACTTGCCTGGATTTGTTTCAGGCTTGTGTATCTGTTGCTGAATTGTGCTTGTTGCTGTTTCAGTTGTAGTGGTGGTTAAATGTGAATTGTACTGTTGGAGACAGTTGGCCTCCTTTTCTGTATTGCAGAGGAAAGGTAATTAAAATGCTTTATTTTATTTTCAGACAATGCTAATGAGGAAGAGTTGGAAAAGATCAAGTAAGGTAACTGTTATTTTTAGCATGTGGTCTTCTGGCTGTTTGTTTTTGGTTTTTTGTGAGTTTTTTTTTGGAACAACTATGATGTTTTACCAAACATGACATCTAGGACTGGCACAGGATTCATTGTCCTTCAAAATGTGTTTTATTGACCTTGTTTTTTGTTTCATCAAATCAAAATCATGAAACAGTTTTTTTAATGTAATCATAAAGCCTGTCAACTTAGTTACAGCATTTTAACCTATCTTGAAGTCATCTGGTAATGGCCGACATGTCCTGATTCCTTTTCTAAAATCTTTATTTCCCATGCATAAACAATTTCCTTTGTTAATAGGAACAAAGAATTCATGCAAAAGGATAACTTTCATTTTCTTATTACTTACTCATTAGAGGATTTGTGTGCTGTTTTCACAGTGATGCTAGTCATCCATAGGTGACAGTCATAGCCATGCTTTAAAAGAGCAGAATGCTTAAGGAATCATTCTTGGTGTCCAGTTTATAGAGCTCTTTAGATGCCTCTTCAAGCAAATTCAGTGTCTGGCTTTTCCCCTCTTAGGAACTGATAAAAAAGGAGCAGTGTATGCTCTTTTCCACATGGGAAATGCTGAGAGTTTTACTATAGTGGAATACAACCAGTTTTTAGCTTTCTTTTTTGCTGTATGTGTCTCCAAAGAGATAAAGAAAATGTATATAGTTTCTTAGTAGTTTTCTGGCCAGTCTTACCTAATGCTGTCATTCTGTTTAAGTTTTAAGCCTTCTTACTATTTGTATTGATAAAAATAAAATTGAAATTTCTTGAAATCTCAAGTTGGTGTGGTAGATCTGGGTTTTTTTGAGATGTTACCGTGTAAAGGTGTTAAAATGAGAAAAAAAAGTGAAATAACTTTGTGGAATGATTGACTTATTTTATAAAGTTATTTGCTTTTCTAGCATATTGATGCACAAATTTAAATAGAAGGTTGTTAACAAACGATGTTGTATATGCTGCTCATCTGACAAATATTTGCACGCTTTTTAATCTTTAAATAGTAAAAGAGAGCAGTGTTCATAATTCTTCGGTTATGGATGGGTTTTTCACAGTTTGCTTCTGGATGCAGGACAATACTCTATCTCTGTTTCCTTTTGGAAATTTCAGAAGCAAAGATATTTCGTGAAGTGATGATGTATAGTATTTTGATTCTCATATGGTTCATGTAACTTCATGAAATATCTAAGGTGCTCAGACTCCTGAAGAGATAAGGAAGAGCTGTGAGAATGGTGAAGGGTAGAACTGTTTTCCATCATGACAGTGATATGTTAACTCTTGATGTGCTAAATATATGTTTGTTCTCATACTTCAGATTACAAATTGACGAAACTATGAGCTTCAATAATCCTGAATGAATGGCACAACATGATAATTGGGAATTCTTCACAGGTCTTCAAGTGAATTATTTATTCCTGTTCTTCTCTGTTACATTCATTTCATAACTTTTCATTCAGTAGTGGCATTTTTGCAAATCGGCCTCCGAGCTGATACTCCAGGTGGAGTCTCACCAGAGCAGAGCAGAGGGGGAGAATCACCTCCCTCAACCTGCTGGCCACACTTCTCTTGATGCAACTCAGGACACAGTTAACTTTCTGGGCTGCAGCAACATATCACTAGGTCATGTTGGGCTTCTTATCTACCAACACCACCAAGTCCTTCTCCTCAAGACTGCTCACAATCTATTCTCTGCCCAGCCTGAATTTGTACTTGGGTTTACCTTGACCCAGTTGCAGGACTTTCCATTTAGCCTTGTTGAACTTCTTGGTGTTCACATGGACGCCCCTTAGTCACAACTGAGAAGCTACTTCCGATTAGTTACAATTGGGCATAAAAGTATGCATTTACTGCCTAAAGCAAGTGAATAAAATTGATTTTTAATTTACATTTAGATAACTATATTTGCTTTAATTCAGCTTTAGAAATTTTTGCGTATACTTTTAAACTGAAAAATAGAATGTATGAACATTTTAAGCAAGAATGAATTGCAAAATGTATGGCTTTCAGCTCCTAACTGCTGACTGTTTTAAAAATTTCTTTTAGAAAGCTTTTCTGAAAATATGTGTGTTCCAGTTGCACAAACTAAATACCAAGACCTATGGCCTTAATAACTGATGCTTTTATGCCTGACTCAAAATATTTACTTTCTGTGGCTCCTGATTTGCATTTTTTGCTGTTTTAAAATTGAAACAAAATGCTTTTCCACTGAAATTAGATGTCTCTTGAGTAGAGAATAAAACTGTAAATAGCAAATCATGGTATAAGTATTGCAGAGACAAACATAAGCATAGAGCTGTATGATATTTCTTAATTCAAGTAATTTACAGTCAGTTCAATCTTTCAACCAGAATCTTTCAGCCAAAATTCTCCGGAATTTCAGAATAGATGGTAGAATTCCTGCATTTGGGTTTTTGTGAAGAATCTTTTAAAACTGAGAAAATATACTTGTTTTTTGTAAGCCATGATGTTCTAGATGTCAGTTTATCAGCTGTAAATGGTGCTTGAAGGAGAGCTACTATATACTGAAATAGAAGTAGAAAAGTCAGAATAGGTACGCCTGTCTGCTAGACATGTGATTATAAAAATTATGCAAATATTTGGTGAGGCTTACATTTGCATTAATTGTATGTGAGTGATAACAACTGACCTAGTTAACAACAAAATCAGCATAGTAACACCTTGGCATGGGGGTTTCTGGGTTCATTCCAGAAATTACAAAAGTACAGGGAGTTTCCATAAAGTATTGGTGGCCACTGTCCTTCTGTGTGTCACATTCACATCAGCACTGGGACTCGGTGACGCTGGTTGTCCAGGGCAGTAACAGGATCATCAGGAGACCCACTGACTTTCACATATTGCAGGCACAGTTTCCAAGAGGAATTGCTGGGAGAAGGACAATGGAGAAGGTTAGGACTGTACTGGCACAGCCTCTCTGACAGCTCCTTCTGCACACTGTTGTCCTCTATAAATATTTCCACTCTTTCCCAGAAAATGCAGGTCAGAGTGAGTGCCACAGCCTCCTTCATACTACACCTGAGCTGCCTCTGGCAAGTGGACTTAAGCCAAATTATTCCACTTAAAACCCCCACAAAAATATATGAAATGCTGCAAAAGTGTGAGCTCTTGTTACTGTAGTCTCATGACAACATTGCTCTACAATGGCAGTATCCAGTTGTTAGAGCAAACACCATAAACCAGATTTAACATGGCAATTATAATGAAAATACACAGGGCACAGGGCAGTGTAAATTTCACAACTACAAAAATTTTTATAAGCTTCACTTACGGTTAAAATATCCTGAAATGTTAAATTTAGTTGATAGAAAATTAAGAGAAATGTTTTTTCATATTGCAGTCATTATCAGTAGCAGTCAATTTACAAAACCAGTTTAGTCACAATGCGCAAACATTAAGAAGGAATCATCATGATCCCACTGATGGCATTTTTGTAAGTCAGTGTCTGTATGTTGATGACTTCTGCAAGGTGTCATACTTTGTATATAGTTTCTAATATAGGAAAAGCATTGCAAATGCACGTGACTGTCCCTTGGTTTTTTTGTCGTGTGGTACATAGAACTAGCGGCTGTATCTATTGATATTCTCAATCTTTATTTTACATGTTTTATCCAAGTCATGTAAGCCTCCTAGAAACTGGGGGAGAAAAATTCTGTTTACTTGAATTTGCAGCAGTCATTTGTGACGCTGGCTTTGATTCACTTTGCTGTATTTGTACACCTATCCTCTGTTCAGTGATGGAGAGAAGTATTGTTCTTTTTTATATTCTTTCGCTTGTTTCTTGATTGATATTTTATTTAAAGCTTCCAAGCCAAAGTTATTTTTTGGATAGAGATGCCATTGCAGGACAGAAAGCTGCATTATTGATTTGGTTTTTAAAACTTTTTAGTAAGTTTGTGGTAGGCACACTTCTGTTTTTATCTGTTGTGTTCAAGGACACAGAAGAGCAGTGTGTCCTAGTGGTGTGTGTACCAAGGAGGAGATTTTGTAAAAGCAGAGTCTGTTTGCATGGGCACAAGCACATGCCAGTGAGTTAGGTGGTACTTTGCAGGGCATGAAGGCTGATCAATGAAGAAGTGAGGTCGTGCTGGGAGAGGACAGTGCGTGGGGTTTCTCCAACTCCGTATGATCTCAAATTCCAAAGGTCACTTAGATACCCAAAGATAAATGTAAATATTTAGGGGATTTTGAAAACCACCTACTAAATGCATCTCTTCTTTTGATGAAAGTAACACTAACTCATTGAGAATGTGGTCTTGATGAACCTGAGGTAAATGCCCGGATTCTGACTAACCCTAGTTGGTTTCCCACCCAGTAATGTTACCCAGATATACATGAACACATGCAAAACATTGAGTCATGTTATAAGGTTATCTTTCAGTTCTGACATTGGCTAACTATATGAAACATACAGACAGTTCTGTATCAAAAGATTTTCTGCTGTTAATGCCCTAGCCCACCCACTGCTCTACATTTAGACAGAATAAGTGGAACACAAATAAAGCCTAAGTTTATCACATCAGAAGATGCTGGGTTTGCATGCTCTTTATAGTAGAAGCATTAAAGCGCAGTGTGGGGATATGAAAATATGTGGGTTTTTCTTTCACGGGTAGCTAGCTGTAAGCATCCTTTGATGTGAAAGATTTCTTTTCAGAAGTCAAATTTTAATTTCCTTTTTGGGAGAGTGAAAGCCTCACTGCATGCAGGCTGCAACTTTCCCACCACCCCTCCCTCTTTGGTGTGTTTAGAACATGTCATACAGGAGTTGCCATGCCTATATCCTGCATATAAATTCTCAAAATGTGAATAATGTGAATAATAATCCCACATTAATGACAGTTGATTATGGACTGAGATTTTGACTTTGCTTCTTTTCATGTTTTGGCATTATATATGAAATATGTAACTCCCTACCTATTTACAGATAAATGAAAGGTTGTGTGGTTTCTTCGTGACTTTTTTTCTGTTTTTGTCAGAAGAATGAATCCAGGCAGCAATAATCATGACATGCTTGCTGAGGGAAAAAAGTTACCTAAGAATTACTCTTGAGAAACATCCTTCATAGGAGAAATTGAGAAAGATACAGACTCATTTCTTTGTTTTATTCTCATGGTTTCCCTTCTGACTTTGTAGTCAACTCACTTTGGGCTGGATTTTACAGACGGTTTCTTAGCTACCTAAAAATGTACCTAGAAATGTACCTGTCTCACACTGTGACATTGAATTCATAAGGGAAGAACTCTAAAAGGTGAAATCAGTCTTGCTTTTTCATTTTTTTTTCATCTCTTAGCTTTTTTGTCAAATTTGACTTGAAATCTAAACATTCCTTTTTTTCATTTTAACTTCCTTCAAGAACCATTGTATGAAATGAGAGGTTATGTTAGTATATGTAATTTCTGAGGATAAATGTGACTTTGACTAGAAGGAAAGCATGTTGGATGCTCTTCAGTCTTGCTTGGAAACAAGAAGAGTGCCAGCTGGAAATTATTCTTGCTGGAGAAGGCCACGTAGCCCATGCCTTTCATGTCCAGGAAATCTCAATAGCTTTAGCTCCAGCAGGCTGTACCCTGACTTCCAGTACATCTCCCTTTTGCTGTGCCTTGGATCTGTGTGTTACTGATAAAAAAGAAAAGAGCGCTGTTGTGGTCTACATTTCCTACCTTGAAGAAGAAACAGTCACAACCAACCCATACCTCTTTTGGTAGCTGCTGCTTTTCTTCCAGCATGTTGAGACATAGGCTCTGCAGCTTCACTATCAGTGAACACTACTGGGCTGTGCAAGGTGCTTTGATCACTGTTGACCACAGAATGTGTCTTTGACTCAGGAGGGCTTCCTCCAGCAGCATGTGAATGGTTGTTCTCGGGGCTCCTGCCTGACTCTTGTAAACTCCTGTCTTACCTGTCTGTCATTTTACCTCCAGCTCTTGGGCATTTAGATCTTGCCTTGCCACCTTTTATGTAAATTACCCCCTACTAGTTATGAAACATCCTACTGGTCATAAAAATCCAGCATGCTTTATAAGGTGGCAGGTGCTCTAATGCAGCAAATTATTTTAAGAGCTGTTGAAAATATGGAATTCAGATTAGATATACTCTCTAAATTATTCAGTGTCTCATTGGTGATGAGTGAAGTAGACAGCGATGCTGTGGTGCTTAAGGTTTACGTCAAAAGAGTTGTGAATGCAAACTCAAGCTTATTTTCCATGATAGTATCCTCAAAATCATGTGGATACCCACTCAGCTCTCAAAAAACCCCCAAGAATTGTGTGTTTTTTTTGCAAAATAAGTCTCAATCACTGCATCTATCCCAATATAAATATATTCCTAAACATGCATGGTCTTTTCTTCTTTCTGTACTCTCATCACCTTATGTTCAGGATAGAGTCAATGTTGATTATTTACTCTCCAGTATTTCTTTTGCTCTAAGCCTTCTAAGAAACTGGAACAAGAATTAAAAAATCTACCACTTCTTTTCAAGTCAGGTCTTTGGCAATATAGACTGTATTCCCCCAATGAAAGGGGTATTTGTGCCAAGAAAAAGTTTTAGTTTATGTTGTGTTCCCAAGTTGTAAATGAAGTATCTTCTCTGGCAAGTGATTTTCCCAGTTGTGCACTAATTTTTGTAGAGTGTCTGCTTTCTGATGTCCCACTGCTGTCACATGTTAAGTTAAAGGTTATTCCAAAGGTTATTCCTTGTTTGCCTTCGTAGAAACAGTAGGTTTGTGAGAAGTTTCTCTGCAGTCAAATCCTTCGCTTCAGGAAGAGAAATCTTTAATAAATATAGTGAAATATTTTGGGAGTAACCATGCTATTTGGGATGAATAACCATTAGAAAACATAAATACATGCCAATAAAATATCTGAAATGCTGCAAAGGGCATGTTAATCAGATTTGCTCCAACCCCAGTGGCCTCAGTACTCACGTATAATACTTCTCTCTGGTGAGTGCAGGTTATAATCCAGGGATTGTTCTCCAGTCTACTTTTTATCATTGTCTCTGGGTAATAAGGTAAAATTCTGCCAGGGACACCTGCACAGCTGTAACCATCCAGCTGTGTTTACCGTCTAAGACTCAAACCAGATTTGCACTGAAAACCTCCTCCAGGGGTACTGGAGGTCTGCAAATGATGAAGCCGGCCATGCAGGCATGATTGCTGAGCTCATAAAGCTTTTGTTACCCAAACTACATTGCAAAATGAAGAAAATGCATATATTTGATATATTTACACCAGCATATATATAAAGACTAGCTTTTTTTTGAATCCTAGAAAGAATAATTTGCGAGATTAAATATTGTTTAGCTATCCAGTGTTCTGATTTATAGATAAAGTAACCTTGAACAAATAAACTTTCAGAATAGAAGGGAGAGCCTTTGGCAACATTGCTTCTCAGATGCACCCAAGACACGTTTGCCTTCTTTAGGAGTGCACAGGTGATTCCCCAGTTCTGATATCTTGTAGGTCAGAGCAAACTGGAGATGATCTTAAATTACTCGAGTTTATAGCCTCTTGCTCACCCAACCCCCAGTGGAGTTCATTAACGAAATGAGCCAACTGTTTTGTGTGTGAATTTTCTTTTAACCCACAAAATCTGTGGCCAAGGGTTTGCAGTCTGCAAGTTTCTGCACAATTCTGAACAAAGGTTCTGCAACGTTGTTTAGAAACTCTTGAACTTATATGGTGGTATTTAATGAATGTTTCTGAGAATACCATGTCATTTTAGAGGGTGAGATACAGGCATTTGTATTATTCCAATGGAAGTTTTGTATTGTCACTGTTTTTTTCTGTTTATTTTAATGTTTCTTCAAGTTCATTCAGTCATATACTACTAATAGAAGAGACTTTGCAACATTTATTTGTATTCTTAGCAGGAGAGGGAGAAGTGAAGCAGAAAAAACACCTTTTTGTTTTAATGCACATTTCCTTAAGTAGCATTTGTTCTGCTTGCTTCTTTCAAAGCATTATATGACATTATCTGCTTAATTGTCACTGTTTTATTTCTTTCCAAGTTATTCTATGGAGTATTGTATACATATGTATTATCCAGTAACTTCAAAATGGCTTAAAGTAGTTGTTTTAAATTCCTGGTGAAATTGAACACTGAAAAACAGGGGAAATTTTTGGAGTTGTGTAAACTAAATTTATGCTTTTGTTTCCCTGAAGTTTCAGACCCAGAGCTTACGTCTCTCAGACCTGCACAGAAAGTCTCAGCTATGGAGAGGAATAGTTAGTGTTACCTTAATAGAAGGTCGTGAACTTAAGGCGATGGATGCAAATGGACTAAGTGATCCGTATGTGAAGTTCCGACTGGGGCATCAGAAGTACAAAAGCAAGGTAATTTTAGCTGTGACTGAAAATGTTTTTGAAATGCTTCATTCCTGTTTGGGATTTTTTAACTTTTATGACTTTCAGTAGTGATGGAGATATATTGCTGTAATAATCAGTTGCCAGAGCACCTGGAGCTTTGAATGTTTCTTTTTATGTCATTATAAACAAAAGTAGTACTAGATGGGGGAAAATGTAGCACTGAAAAATTTGGGTGTACCAAAGGGCACACCTGATATTCTGTACAGACTGTGTTGGCTTTTATTTCTTGCAGGAGTCATTCATGAGAGGGGAGAGATGCAGAGTGATTGTGACAACTACTTTCCAGGCTTGATGCTGGTTGCTTCTTGGATCCTTTGCATTGTCTTATCCTCAAATCATGTCGTGCTTATATTCTCACTTTCCTCTTTGTGTCCTTACAGCAAGTTTCATTAAAATTTTCTTTATGAACTTCACAGGTAGAGAGGATTAATCAGGGAGACAATTTATGTGGGAACTTTCTTGGCTTTCTTGCTATTACTTTTTTATTCCCCTGGTCCCTACTGTTTTGAAAATTGCTGTTTATGGAAGATGCTTGGACCACCAATGATGCACATGATCTTCCTCTCTCAACAGCAGTGGTGACCGCTGTGGTTTTCACAGCCAGACAAAGGAGAAATTGAAGAAGAAGCCAGGAACATTTAGTTGCTGTATTTGCAGAGCTCTGAGCCTGCATTAGTGCCTCTTAATCTGAAATTAGAAGAAATCAAATTTCATGCTTTTGTGAATAAAAAATTTTCATAATCCTCTCTGAATTTTCTGTTGTTTCAAGCCAGTAGAACTGGTGGGTGTAAGAAGTAGTGTTTCCTTAATAGGGAAGGTGCTAGGCTGTTTCTTGCTCAGGACACGTGTGACTACTGTGAATGCTGTTTTTGCATTTTGGTAGAAAAATCTGTAAGCTTTTCGTTCTGCACAGTGTGGTCAGAAGTACATGGACTGAAATCCATTGAAGTCAGAAGTAACCAGACTGAAAATGATTGAGAAAGCTGCTTTCATCTGGGTTTTAAATGAAAGGAAGTAAAATACAGTTTTGGAAAAAAAAAATTTATTCCATACAAAGTAAACCATAGTATCACTGCATCTGTCTGGGATGCTGCAGTATCCCAGTATCACTGCAGCTAGGGAAAAAGGACATGATAAAATTGTTTGTTTAAGTACATACAGTCACCATCTACTTGTCATTGCAAGTGCTTTGTTTTCTTTTGGGCTCAGAGACGCAACTTTACAGCTGTCTCTTAAGAGAGGACATAATTATTCTACAGAGAAATGGCTCCATTCCCAGGGCAAATCGTTTGTTTAGGAGGCTTTTGAAGGTGGACAGGTTGCAGGATTTTGGAGGTTGCTGTTAAGTCAGAGAGGCATGAGAGAACTGGCCAGTAGTCTTTTCCTAATTATACTATTTTTTAGTTCTCCCTGCTTGAGATACTGATACTGCAGACAGAAAAAACTTCCTGAACAGTCTAAAGATCAAATTTACAGTTCAAGAAAGTGTGTGCCTACACTATGCAATATGACCTTCTTTTTTGATCTCCTTTCAGATTGTGCCAAAAACTTTGAATCCTCAGTGGAGGGAGCAGTTTGACTTTCATCTCTATGAAGAACGAGGTGGAATTATTGATATTACGGTGTGGGACAAAGATGCTGGCAAAAAGGATGATTTTATTGGCAGGTTTGTGCAATTCCAGCCTTCTTGTTCCCTGGGGCTCATTAAAATGAGCCTTGCTGTTGAAACTATTTCTTATGACCATTTGGTCTTGCTTTTGTTGTGTGGTTTGTTTTTTTTAAAGTTCGGGGAGAATTTTCTGCAATGTCCCAGTACAGTTTGCTGCATTGATGTAATTCTTTACTTTGATGATGTAAAATAATTTTTACTGACCAGTAGATGGCAGCTTTTACCAATTAATAGATTGAGGCTTTCAAAAAAAATCCCCCATTTAGAGCAATTACCAAGATGCAGGAGGTTCCATACAGCAGCATACAGTTTGGAGGAGAAATAACTCTTTTGACTTGTAATAGATGCATAAGACCAAATTTATGTATCAATCTATTTGGTAAATGAAAATACAGTATTGAAAGACTGCACATATCTTTTGGGGCAAATAAATAAGATCATTCACCTAATTTATATTCAGGAAAAGAAATAGTATGTATTTGTGTGGCTATGCTCCATTTCAAAGAGTAGGAAGTGGCATTAACTGGTAGCTAATCGGGAAAAAACTGTTTGTGCTTTTAGGTTCTGTGAAGTAGCTGCTATTTGAAAAGCTCAGATATTTTTTACATCATACTTTTGTTGATATCCATACAGTCATTATAATAGGATTATAATAATAATTATAATTATAATAATTATTAATCCTATATATTTTGGTTGTTTGTGAGAGTATTGGTTGTAGGTGCTTTCACTAGGGCATTGATACTGTTAACTAGCAAGAATACTCTTTTTTTTGTGATTAAAATGAGGAATGGAAATCCCACAGACCAAGCCATGTATTTTTGTTGTCAGTATGACAGTGTTTCTACTGACCTTTTCCTCCCTCGTGTTCCATTTAAGGTAATGGCTTTCTTTATCAAATTAGGTGAGCTGAATAATATTCTGTGTTTATTTCTTACTATAAATTCTGCAAACTCAAAATGTGTACAGAGTCTGTTGCAAGCAAAAAACTTTAATATCGACAAAAACACTTTTCAAAAATACACACAGTAGGATTTTATTTTATATGATGAAACTCCATGACATATACGGTAGCAATAACTGTTTTTCTGAACTGGTGTAATCATTTAGTCCTATGTTGACATATTATATACCTTGGGAAATTATTCCTATTTTCTTCATTATTTTACCTTCTTATCCAAAAGATGGTGAAGCTTTCATGTGTGATTTTTCATAACACCATCATCCAAGCAGTACTTGCTGAAATCTTGCTGCTCTTGATTTTTGTAACCTCTGTCAGTGTATGTATAGTCCCTCTTAAGTTTGTCCTTTCAGATACTCTCTGATTTCACCTTCTGTTGGTACCTTATCTCTGGATAATGCAACCTGCAAACAAATTCCTTCCCATGAAGATTTCCATGAAAAACCGTCATTTGTCAAGCTCAATCTGAGCTTCCCTCCCTGATATTCTTTTCCGGTCATTGTGGATAAAAATCACCAACACCTGACAGCTCCACTTAACACTGACTTCTCTTTCCCAATTTCTCCTTTAAAGGCTGCTTCGAAAAACTGGAAATACCTTGGTGCACACATTATGACTTGCTCTTTGTGTGTGTATGTGTGTTATGATAAGTGTAGGTTAATTTTTAAAAGCATGGCTGCGTTGTGCTCTGTGACTAAGGCTCTATGGCTCTCAAGGCACATGTATATTTTAATTCATATTCCAGAAGAAGTGATAATGAGGCTGTGGGAGGGAAACAAAAGACTTCGTGGTAGCATTCTAGCATTGGTCAAGAATGGAGAGTAATTCCTTTCATCTTCTTGCTTGAATATTGTGCATGCAGCAGCTGTAATATTATATAAGAATATTTCTATTAAATGCAAATGAAAACAATTGTTTCTTGAAGATGTCCTGCTTGGCCAAAGAATAGTTAGGGAGAAGGCACACTTGATTGAATAGATCCTATTCATTGAGGGAAAGAGCAAACCAAATTGAGAAAACAGAAGAAAAGGTTTCCCAGGTGGAAGGTTGAAGGGCCAAATTCCAGGATCTTCATGGAAAATAGTGCAGGAGACCTGTGTTTTTACTCTACTGACCTCAGTTACTGGCAAATTCTATTCCAAATCAGAATGCCATAAACTCTCCTGGAATAATACCGTGTTTCAGCTGCACTTTTGTGAAATAGAAGAAGTAGGGAGTCAGGGACATAGACATCTGTGGGCCTTGTATATCGTTGTACTTGTTAGGCTAGAGCATGGTAAGGACCAGGTGAAAGCTGGGATTGTGACACAGTGGCAACAGCATGTGTGCTCAGATTGCGAGGGCTTGGGTTTGCTATATATTTCTGAGGGTGAGAAGATGCAGGAAAAATGTTCAAGAAGCCTGAAGACATGGAATTGAGATTCTGGTTTTGGGGTGACATAACAGGAGGACAGAAGTGGAAGGGGTAGCTTGTAAGAGAGAGGAAGATGTTAAGAGGGTGAAAGTAATGCCATTTCATCCTAGTTGAGAAAAGGAGAACGTCTGTTGCATAAGTAGCATAAAGCTCTGTCTTCATCTTGATGCCCACGCACATTCAAAATGGCAGTTCCTGAAATGAAATGCTAACGGGTTGATTTCCATTCTTAACTTGGAGCACTATGGGTTTATAAAATTCATTTGAGTTTCAGCTGTGTGCATTCTCCATTAGAGTTCAAAGGCTGTAGCACCTTGTGAACTTCCATCTTAGAATATTGTAAAAAAATCCCCAAACCCTGGAACCAGTTCAGTGTTTATTTCGAGATTTCAAAATCCTGAGAAAAGACCTCATTCAAAAGCCTTGAGGAAAATATATTTCCAGTCATGTGCTGATTTGTATGAGAAAACACTGGTCTTGATCACAACTGAGCTTCATGTTACAGAAGTGAAATACTGGCATTCTTCTGAATATAGTTTTTTTAAAAAACAACCAGCATTCCAGGACCAAGTACATGAGGTCAAGAAGTTCTTTTTATGGAAAGCACCAGGAGCTAAAGCCACACAGCATTCAAATAAGCATGTAGACTTGCATAAGCAGTATTACTTGTTGTTTCAGCTGTTAAGTAGAAATACATATGTACGTGTATATATATTGTACAGTCTGAGTACATTTAATGTTCACATCTTTTTGCTATGAACAAGTAATTTATGTTCTGTATCAAGTCAGTATGCTCCTGTGATTAAAAACATACACTGCAGTAAGGTTGTGTAGGTAATATTAAGATCAAAATGAAGGTGAAGTGATTTTAATTGTCATGTAATTATTTAAATTCCTTATCATTTGTGTTAAGGTGATTCTGACTGTCACCTTTACGATAATCAGTTAATAAATCCTCATGATTGTTACACCTTTGTGCGTAGCAGTAATCTGAACAAATTGGCTGCTGACAGCTGCAATAAATTGCCAAGAATGAGTGCTGTCAGAGAACAAGTTGTTTCTGTGAACATACAGGATAAGTAGATCCCATGTCATGCAGTTTTATTCAGCTGAAGTTATTTGCAATCCAGTGCAGCAGGATTTATAACATTATTTATTGGTATGAAAAAATACATATTCATTTTTAAAATTACATTGACTTTTGCTCTTATTTTGTGCAAATTAAGAAAAAAAGACCTTGTGTATAGTATGTTCATCAAGGCTATGTATTAATCTTATCTGTAGCAAACTGAAATTTCCCATAAACTCTCTAAATATTGTCATGAAAATTCAGATTGATTTAGTGACCATCCGTATAATGGATGTTATGAAATACAAAAGTTAAAATATTGAAAATTAAGTATTTAGGTTTTCAGTACCTAATCTGCTGTGTCTTGTCTGTTTAGTCTTTTCTCAGTTACAAAGGTATAGAGTTGTGGATGTACAAATAGTATAGGCTTTTGGTTGTACATAAATACAGTCAATATGCAACTATAATTCTGTGATTAATCTGAAAGCACTGGGATATGCTATCAAAGTTCTAAACTAAAGTGAGATTTTATTTTAAAAATATAAAGTTATAATATTTATGGTTTGGGTTTTTTTTTCCCCACTGAAATTTGCATAATTTCACTATGGGAGACTGAGCATTATCATAGAGAACTGAGTGATGCTGTAAAGCTGTGTATGGGTACTCCAACATGCGTATAAAGTTGGGTGAGGGGCACACTAAATATGCTACTGCAAGTGTTTCTTCCCAGATTTTTTTCTAGAGATCTTGTGGAGACTGTGATAAAATACCAGCAATTTTCTTTTTTAAATATTGTTGCCCGAGAAAAAGGCTTTGAACAGTATTTGTGAAAGTCCATAGTAATTTTGAAATTGCCAAATCTTGGCAGTTTTCTCGATTTTGCAAAACTCTGTAGACAAGATGACTTCCTCTGGAATTGTAGAGAGTGCTTTATTATGCCAGCCTTTCAGAAATGTTTCTCATATGGTATTTTGAAAATTTCTGCACGTTGAAGTAACGTTGGAAGGATGTATTGTATTAAAAATGTAAACATAGTGGTCAATATGCTGTTGTAATTTGAGATTTGAACTCTGTGTGCATGTGAATTACACAGCAATTCTGTGCAAACATAGACAAGCACACAACCAACAGCCTGTCTGTATAATTGTTTGTTGATTATACATGATGACTAAAGTTAAATTATTGCAGATGCATTTCTCGATGTAAAATAAAGATTTTGCCTGAAGCATTAAAATCTAAAAATGCTACTGCCAGGCATGCCCTTGAAAAATCCTAGGATGTGCTGAGCCATCTCCATTTCTGATTGTTGTTAAAAGGAGCTAGATGTAAATACTGCATCTCAAAATCTGGCCTTCAGGTATTCCACACCTTAACTAGTCCTGTCTCTGCACATCGTTACTAATGCAGAGGCACTTCTGTTCTGTTAGAAGGCAAAAAAAATTTCAGTTTTGATTCACAAATCTTCAGAAACTTTCTTTTACTGGATACTTTATTATTTAAAACTCTTACTGACATTTGTTATTGTCACATTCTATTGCGAAACTGATAGAATT